AGAGTTAATAAAAAAATTTGATATTTTGCATATGAAAGCATTGTAATGTTTACTGATAATCTGCCAAATTTTGTTAACATATGCTTATTATTTAAAAGTTATTGCATGAAAACTATAACAAGCACAAAATGGTTACAAGGTCGGTCTCAGAGACTGAGCCCATGCTAAAAGCATTAAATATTAAATAAACTAAATAATAACTATGAAGCTTAACAGTCTTGTATATGATCCGAGTTTGGATTGATTCAATCTCTTTTTTTTTGTATATATATTCTTATTCTCTCCTTAAACTTCTTCCCATTTTTCCTATCTCCAGTTGAGGAACGGTTTTGTCCACAACCTTCCATCTCTTCCCTTGCCAATAATTTTTTCTTTCTTTGGTTCTTATGAATCTCTTTTGATCCTTGTTAATCAGTTGTTCCTCATCCAGTTCCTCTTGTGCACTGAAATCTCTGTTTAGTTTTTAGCACATTTTTCATTCTCTGTTTGAACCATTGGCTCCCTGTTCCTTGCCAGATCTTTATATCAAGGTATATTTTTTCTTCTCCTCTATTGTGGGAGCTGTCACTCTGGCACTTTCTCCTTGCATGTCTCCTGCTCTATTTACCAAAGGGACAGGTTAATATTATTTGTGGAATGCTTTTTCCTCCTTAAAACTTGGACTGCTCAAGAGGGTGGTTGGGATATCCAACTCATCTCCTTTCATTTGGACCAGTGGATTATTTTTCCTCATCTGGTTAGCTTATTCTTCTATGGGTTAGGACACTTTCATCTTTTTCATGTCTCCTTTCATAAAGTTCATCATCTCATGCCTCTAGTAATTAATGTTCCCTGGATGAGATTTTGCAGGTGGGTATTTGGATGACCCTCAACATCTTTGTTATATTACTTACACCACATTGTGGTTTCATCTCCTTCCATTTGCCATTCTCCACTTTTATCAGAATATCTCAGAAGGTCAGTTGTTAATTTGTTCTTTTTATAGATCTCACAGCCTCCTCATTTAATCTATATATCTATATTATAAAGACAGTGGGACTCATTACATTGTCAATGTTGCCTTACAGGGAAATACTTCTCTCCTGAATGTGTTGAGTGAGGAATAACAAAGTGTTAAACCCATCTGTTATTGCTTATTCTTTGCTGTTGAGATAGGATTTCCTGCAAGACTGTTTCATCAGTATATATGTGTGTGATTCTATATATATATACACACACACACACATTTTATCTTCCTTGTCATACCTTAGAAAAAGATGAGAAAAAAAGAGCATCCCATGCAAACCTGTCCTTGTTTATGATAACCCATTGCACGGTCTATCAGTGTTGGACTGTATGCAAACGATAGAAAATTACTGTTTGGTCGATTCACTTCTCTGGTTTTCCTCCTATGGTAATGGGAGAACCCTTGCTTCCCTAGTCCCAAGCCACAGGTGAGGTTGATACGGAGAGTTTCCCTTGAGGTTGGTGTAATCCTGCTGATATGAGACTGAGGTGATACAATCCTCAACTGGAAGTCGGGTTGGTTTTCATATGGAAATGTATTAGAGGCCACTTCACTACACTCTAAATCAAGCTATTTCTGGTGGTTAAAACAGCTGGATGAGTCTTGTGTTCATCTTAGGATGCAGGTCTGGGTCACTTCTTTTCTTTACCTGCTTACTCTATTAAGTTTTTCACTTAAGTTTTTCTTCAATACTGTACAGTCTGACTTATTGCCCTAGCCACAATACACACTCATACTTAGCCAAACACACAAGAAATAATGTCTGCCAAGCAATCTTATATTCTACCAACCTATGCAACATTTTAGCACCATCTAAAAGGTTCTTTTAAATTTACCTTTTTGGTGAAAGAGTAATCCTTACATGAGAAAGATGCAACCCCCCCCTGAATGATGTTTCATTAGGATACCCTCCCAAATGCATCTTTTTAAATTCTGTTTTTACTCTACACCGACCTTTCTACCATCTAATTAATATGAGATTCAAACTTTTCTGCAAAGAAGTGAGCACCATTTTCCTTTCCCAGAAATGTAATTCATACAGATACTGACCTATCTGCAAAATTGTTTGTCCTTCTTCCCCATTTCTGGTGTGTTTCTTTTGCTTAGTAAAGAATGGATCTTTCTTGTAATTCTAGTGCTTACAGGGTTTACATATGTCACTATACTATTGGTAGAGGGTCATAGTCTAATGATAAATTGCATTATAGGTTGGCACTGTTCATGTTAATACGTTAAGGGGTGGGAATCTTGTTGAATGCTTGTGGCTTGCTCAAAAATCTTCTCAGCAGTGACATGAAGTAATAAACTCTTTCTTTTGCAGTAAGGTGAATATCTCTGAAATACATTTCCAGGTAAGAAAGATATTAACTTTATTATTTAGTTTCATTATTTGTATAGAATAAGACTACCAGAGAAAATAATAGTACTCTACCTTACAAAGATGTATTGTCTACATTCTGATACTTGTATTTACAGATATGGCAGCACACGGAGAATGGCCTTTTCGAACTTACTGTTGTACATCTTGTTTACCAGAGTTTGAGGCCTTCCATGCCATCTAACATACACATACTAATAGTTTTCTTGTTAGCTGGTATAGCACGAGATAGACTGTGTAGGTTCTGGCATCAGCTGTACCTTGTTCTTGTTCTAATGGTGACCTCTGTTAGTCAACCTAAACAGCGATTCAAATACAGTTGGCTTCTTCTGTGTAAGTTACTGTTAATCAATCTATAATTATATGATAAAGATTTAATAAATATTTTTATTTTATGATTTGTATTTTCATAATAATAAAAAAGTTTGAAATATTTTCTTGTAATAAGAAATTATCCCTTGAAACATTTGGGCAGGCACGGCTTAGTGATTAGGTTTCTAGGCTGTAGCTTGTAAGGTCAAAGGTATGAGTCACAATGAGCTTGTGAATGTGCTCTACATTTTCAGTTGTGGAGACACTGGAAGTGTGACAGTGCTCTTCTGTTTAGACAAGATGTATATGTGGTGGACACTGTTGACTGAATGCATTTAGTCAATGGCTCTAAATTATATATAGATGTGGCTAGATCTTAGGAATCTTTGATCTGGCCCCCTTTTAACCCTTGTGTTGTGTAAGGTTCTGTTATGTTGAAAATATGAAATATCTCTTGGGAAACTTGTGTTTTTTAATTGAAGTTTCACACTTGAAATGAAAGAAAATTTGCTGTATAAGCAGGTGTCTTATTATAGTGTTTTTTAATTACATTTTAGGGGGGGCAGATATTAATTTTTGTTAATTTAAAAGAACAATCAGTACTTTGGATTTTAGATTCTCAATCATGCTTGTGCAAGATAATGCACATACATTCTGCTTTATGTGCATTGTTAATTGTTCACGTAAATGCATCACTATTGCTTTTTAAAATCATGCAACTTATTTAGTGTATGTGTTGAGAGGTATTTTCATATTGTGACTAATACCACTGTTTACTACTGCGGCACTGATGATCCATGACAAGAGAGTTGTTGTTCAGTGCTCATTAATTCAAATCGGGGGTACAGTTTACTTTTGTGAACTGCTGTTCATGTAAAACAATGGTACGAACTGGTACAAGCGTGCACTTGTCCTTGTTTCTAAAGTGGGAATTGTTAAATACCATTGGCTATGAGACTAAAAAAAGAATGTGGAACTGAGTTGGCTATGAAGATAAATATTTTTACGAATCAATACTGTATTGCTGATACATTGGTAGTGTACTAGCAGTCGAAGAATCATCGTAAATTATGCATGTATTCTAATTAAGGTTTAGGGTGTGTAAAAGAGTATCAAATCGATACTTGTGAATGAATATGAACAGTTGCTGAATTGACTGGATTTAAATCATCATTTAATTATTTAGTCCGAGGTCTTCCTTGACAAAGTTTCTGTGTCGTTAATAACTTTAATCTAATTTCACACCCAATTTTGACTACATTTTTCGATGCTCAAAATGACAATGGATAAACTCTGGTTAAAACAATTTCATGTCAAATTGTTTTAAAGGACAATTTTTAAGGTTCAAGTGTTATACTAAAAATGAGGCATAATAATTTCTTAGCTTATATTAAATAGGGCAAGTGTGCTGCCTCTCCCTTAATTTCATGAATATGCTGCCTTTTGTGGTGGAGTGACCTATCCTATGCACCCTCATCCAACATCATTATTTATAAGCCAGTATTTTTATTCACATATAAAAGAAAAATATATTGAGTTAGGCCTGTTTTTGTCCAATGTTAATAATAAAGGGTGTATTTTAAGGATCTTTGAGGAATTACTAAATGCTGCTTAACTTTTACAAAGATGACATATTCATAGATGTTTGAAAAAAAGTTAAATAAATGAAGTTTTTTTTTTCGGGCTTAATATTTGTTTTATTATCTACATTATGATACATGGACCTGAAAAAACATTTTTCAGTGAGTGATAAAAATCACTTACCTGCTATTTTCAAATATGCAGGACTGAACAATGTATGTCTTTGTTAAAGATCTAATTTGTGTACGATGTGAATAAGTAACAGGGTGCATAGGTTGTAGTTAGAGGCATGTATGTGAACTGTTTAAAAGCATATTTTGTGTCATAAGAGACAGATCTGTTGTAATCCTGAGTGGTTGAATATTTTTGGAAAGCCTTTCGCTTTATAATGTTGAAATTTAGTAGTGGTAGTTAATAACTTTTGTTATTTTATTCATTGGCAAGTTATGTGTTTGTAAATTGCATAACAAGATGGTACAGTTGCTAGTAAGTGCCAGAAAATAATGTGATTATATGTATGTAAATTATATAAATATGTAATTCGTGTAATATTACTAAGCAGTGGATTAGTGTCTTAAATGATATGGCTTTAAGTGTTGAAGAAAGTATATTGAAGGTAGAAATATTTTATTGGTTGAATATGAAAGTAACATAAAAGTAGTAAAACATTCAGATATGTAACAAAAAATCTGATTTTACATAAAGACACTTTCAAACCAACAAGAAAAAGAAATGTGCAAAGATCAATAAACTGAAAAATTTTGTATGAATATTTTACTTAGACAAATAGCAGAGAGAGCTGTTAATTACGTTTAAATTTTATCAAATATGAATTATTTTCTTCTTGATAGTTTTTTCATCTTTGTAGATTTTGATTTTGCTTCAGTCTCTTCCATAGATAATTTTTGATTTAGGGGAAAAATGTTCTCTCCACATTTTTGTTGTATTAATTTAGCAAACTTTATGGTTCAGTAGTTATTATGTGATTAAATCTATTTTGTAATAGTGCATTGACCTTCAGTGATTTATTTCCTCTGATGCTTATTAGTTTTAAAATGTTCTCCTAATAGGCCTGGAAATTCTGCTTCTACCAGTAGTGCTGAGCATTTCCCTTACTGCTTCTTTCCTTGCAGCTCCTATAGTACCTCTCTTCACGCTGCCAGTCTTTCTTGTGGGGTTTCCTCGACCACTGAGATTCTGGCCTGAAAAGGTTACAGTTTTTGCTTAAAATGGCTTATTTTGTGTGCTAATTAAGTTAATATGCTATAACTTTTAAATTAGTAAGTGTATGTTAACAAAAGTTTGCAGATTATCAGTAAACATTACAATGCTTTCATACTCAAAATATTAATTTTTTTTATTAAGTCTTAAGGTTTGTTAAGTAATGTTTTTCTCATACCTTTTTTTTTTCTTTTCACATGTTGCCTATCCAACATGCAAAGTAATTTTCATTTTAAGATGAAAAATACTTTTATGCATCAGAAAATTTTTAAATTTCATATGCGAAATGTTTATAATGTCCATATAGTTATCAAATGTTTCTTAAGAAAAAACTTTATATTTTATTTGTTATTTTCACTAACGAATCTCTATACGGGTTTGGTCAATTTGACCGGTTTTGTAACCATCATAAAAAATTAGGAAATAAATATAAATTCTGCCTCTTTCGTTCTAGAATGACAACAAGTTATAGCACGAACACATAAATGTTTAGACTAAATAGCCTAAATCTCATAACATTATACATTCACATATATTTTTATTATATTGACAATTCAGCCATACCTGGCTAACAATACAGAAGTTACAATGATGCGGCACACATGCACTCATGTTACCGTATCCAATAATACAAACCTGACCTTTAGTCTTTACAAAGTGATTTGTCTTGGCTGTGTTTTAGTAAACTAGTATTTTGTAAAATACAGTCACATTTCAATTATTGTACATTATATGTGTATATAGATTATTACTATTTAGAAATAAGTTCTTAAACTTATTTTTCTTAAAACATAGAATAGTAAATAAAGAAGTAAAGAAAACAATTATCTTTTCTAATTATGACCTTTGTACTCGGTTGCTGCTTGATGTAGGTTGCTGAACCTTTTAAAATTTTGCACGTGGAGGATGTGAAGGGAAATAATTTTTTTTAGGTTTTATATATAAACAGTTAAATAACAAAAAAATCATAAATTACTATATCAATACCATAGAATTCCACTATAATTTATCAAGCTTGGTAACTAAGCTTTATTTGGGTCTAAAAAAATATAAAATACTGAGCAGACTAAAGACACACCCTACCTTGTTCAAATATTGGGGCAAAAGAAAGAAATGTCATATAAGTATGTTAAAGTGGCTGAGAAAGACACTAGGGGACATTCTGAGCTTCCTAATGGTTATTCATGTGTTGTTTATTGTGTTTGATTCATTACATGAGTGATATATCCTATATATAAAGGAGGTTCTTATTTTATATTCTAGCTTGTCAATATTGGTAATTTGAATTCGTAATTGGTACAAAACTATAGACTTTGTATTTCGACATCACAAACATCTAATTTGAACCAGTGCTGCATTCAACATACTACATGACACATAAAAATTGATGTTTAATTGTGGTTTTCTAATATTTACTTTTAGATTAAGAAATTGAGTAAGGTATAATACTAAAATTTGAATTATAATCTACAGTTTGATACCAAACTTATTGACATAAATTCATGAAATAGTTCAATAAAATTTTGAATGCGAGTCAACAAATGAGATGACATGGCCTTTCACCCGTGACCTTCTCGAAAGGGTTAAAGTACTATCTTCATTTGCAAATCGTAACGCTTTAACTGATTTGCAATAAGAATGTCAGAGTTTTCAATCTGTAGTCTCAGGCCATGGGGGTGATGTTCAAAGGCAGGAGCAAAGAGATTGCTATGGCTTTTTACTTAAATTATGTGGAACTGAAAATGTACATTTGTAACTATAGAATTTAGTCCCTATTGTTTTTCAAGTTGTAGTTTTCATATTACATGTGATTATCAAGTACTAGTATTTCTGTGTAGTCTATACCTATAGGAATTAGATAATTTGACTTATATTTAATGTACTAATGGTTTATTTAAGAAATTCTTATCTTGTATCTGTTAGATTTGTATAATGAGAGTATTTTTTTTAACAAAGTTGAAGTTTTATTATGTAAAATGTTGTTTTCTATTAACTTAGGTTGGAAAGTCTGCAAATTACTGTCAAGATTCAGTATTTTATCAACAGCTAATTTCATCATTAACTACCAGTCTTCAGCAATCTCTATCTGCAGGTAGCTTAGGTAAGTTTATTTTTGAATACTAGCCATCATTAGTTAAGGGATATTTATTCTTGACTAATAACCAAGAAATGCCTATTGGTAGATTGTATAGTCTTCAGTGGTTTGTTTTCAGAATATTAGCATGACCTTGACTATTAGTCTTTAAATGTCTATTAGCAGGTTGTTTAGGCAATCATATTTATTACTTCTAACTTTCAATAGATTCTATCAGTAGGTTGAATAAACCAGACTTATCCTTGTTTACTAGTCTTCAGCAGTCTCTCAGAAAGTTGCTAGTTTTATATTCCTTTTTTGTTATCCTTTGTACAGTTTTTGTTGTGATGTGTTTTAGGTAAGGTTATTCTTGTCTACTGACTTTCAGCATATTGTGTAGGTAGCCTCATATGTGACTACTAGCCTACAGCAATCTCTATTAGCTCATTGTATAAGTAGGTTTATTTAGTACTAGCCTTCATAATTCTATCAGCAAACTGCATAGACAAGCTTATACTTGACTACTAGTTGGCAGCAGTCTATTAGCAAGTTGTGCATGGTAGCTTTCAGCAGTCTTTGTAAAGCTGTTGAGTGAGTACATTTCTTACTGGCTATTAGTAACCTTTTAAAGCTTAACCCTGACTATTAGCCTTAAACAATTCCCTATAAATAGATAGTATAGATAGCCTTCTCAAAGATTATTACTTTCCAGCAGTTTCTTCTCAACAGGTAGCCTTATCCTTCACACGTTAAAACATTTACGTGTGTTATCATTCGGGTAAATTTCACTCATCATGATACATCTATAAGTGATGATACAAATATAATAATCAATTTTTTGTTTTCTGAATTCATTATCCAAACATATTTAAACTTATTTACACAATAAAGAATTGAATGTTATAAGTATTAATCTATTTTGAACTTTCAGGAAACATTACACCAGGAGATTACTACTTAGCCAGATTTCAGGATCGCCTTATATGGCTCCAGATTCTGGAAAGAGGATATGGCTATTGCAAGCTTAGTGTGAAGGGTTTGGAGTTGCAAGAAACATCATGTCATGCAGTAGAAGCTTCCCAGATTGATGCTATATTTGAACAGATGTATAGCAATGGTGAAGGATTAGGGAGACAATATTTTCATCTGAACAGAAACATCTTTAATACTCTTATTCCTTGTGATAGTATTCTAGTCCGTACTTATTCTGACGCTAGAAATGTGTTGACAGGGCTAATTGATGCACCAGAAACTCTGAAATTAATAGTGACCTTCTTTCCCAAAGTTCTCACTTGGATCTTGTTACATCATCTCATCTCAAAGCTGTCAAGAGATCACTCAGCTTCAGCTGTTTTTCCAAATGAAAAACCTGATAATTCTTATTTAGCTTCTGTTCCAAAAAGACCAGCATCAAGCCAGAGCCGTATTATAGCAATGAAGATGACAGAATTAGAACCAGTCCACAAAGTTGTGGATCAAAATATTGAGCAAGTAAATGACTGGGCAGAAGAAGAAGAAGAAGAACAAGATAATAGTAATAAAGAAGCTTTATGGGCAGAAGCAGTGGCTTCCTATCCCATGAAATTGTCCTGGTCTGATGAAGAAGATCCTTTGGGTGAGTCACCACCCAGGAAATCAAATATGATGAAAGAATCTAAGGAATGTGCTAGCACTCCAAAATTTGAGGGATCACATGTGATCAAAACAAACAGTGATGGAAGTATACCTGGCCTTTTAGATGATGATTTTCACAGGATAATTGAGTTGGGAGCACCAACAAAAGGTAGTATCAAATCACGTATTGTAAGTGCCAGAAGACAAGCTTGGACCCCAGATAAACTTGAAGTAGAACCTGATACAGCTTTCTTTACACCTCAGTACAGGTTTCCATCTTCATCCAGACTTGGGCCCCCAGGAGAGTGGCTTAGCTGTCCTGTAAGTAAAGAATTAACATCCAGCATGAAAGACTTCTTCAGCATCGAATGGTTTCAAGCCATCCTTGAAATGCTGTTGGAGAAACATGAAGATCTGAAAAATCTTTATAGTGATGATGCTTTAAAGGATAGTGGACTTCTAGAAGCTTACCAACATGTAGTTCTTGCATGTCACCATGGAGTTAATCTTGCAAGTACTTCTAAGAAAAGTGCAGCTGATTTAGGACCAAGTCATGTTCACTCAGTATTTCATTCCAGTTTACCAGTAACCTCAGCCCAAGATTGGCTTAAGAAGACTGAAGATCTTTTTCATCTAGTCATTAAAGCATACAGGTTAGTTTGAGTGTAAAGCAGAGATGGCTGGTATGGGTATTAAAAACTTTAATTAAAATAAAGTACAAGAACAACATTTCGACCTTCTTAGGTCATCTTCAGATTAACAAAGACAGTTTGAAACTGGGCACATGTTTTAGGGACGAGAGTGTGAACAGGTACGAGATTGTACGGGGCATAGCAGTTAGATGTTAGGTGATTAATATAGATATAAAGGTGTTCATTTATGTTGGTTCAATTTTGGATTGAGTTCTTGTATAAGTAGGGCTTCTTTGATTTTTCGTTTGTGTGCCTTTGTTTCTCTACTTAATATGTTGGTGTTTTCTATGCATACAGGTTAGTTTGAGCTTCATAAGTGTACATGTTTAGAAATTGTTGACACATGTTATGCACAATTAGAATGGTTTGGGAGAAAATCTTATAAATTAATTTTTCTAATAATATGATACATAACAATTTCTATTTTATTGACTGTTTGCATTAGTGAAAAGGCTACTTAAGTAATTCCTGGATTGATGGACATTTGTTGTTCTTAAATTCTAAACAACCATTTGTTCTGTTATCAACTCTGGACACGGGCTCAGTTGTTTTGACCAACCTTTTAACCAAGAAAGTGTCCACACTATAACATTTAATGTAGTATGTGTATCTTCAAAAAACTTGGCAAGTTTTAATAAACATTATAAATCTATTGTACACAAAAAATTAACTTATTTTGTCCATGAATATATAGAGACAGTGTTAACTAGTCTGAGTGCAAGGTGATTTTCATGTTGAGATTAAAATTATTTTTTTCTAATTTTATAGTTTTATATTTCATTTACATAACATCAATTTTTATGTAATTTTACTGTTTTATTGGTCATTGAACTGTGTCTAACTAAAAACACACAATAAAATCTGTAAATCACACAGCCAATGCGTATCTCAACTTACAATATTGAATGACATAGCACAGCTACTTGTGAGCACACCTCAGATAGAATTTTTTTATTATAATAATTTTTTCCTTATTCAACCTTGTAAATTTCTGATTTTTACATTTTAATTACTTTTATAAAAACAGATAAGATATATACATAAAAATCAAGAAATTTAGTACTTACCTTTGGCCTTTTGATTTTTGTTGTTGGCCCACCAATGAAATTTAGGCCTATGTTTTTGTAATGATGGTACTAGTACATTAAGTAATTTTTATTTATTTCAAATGTACATGAAAGAATACAAATTAATAACATAAACAAAGCAAACAATGTCATATAATTCTTATAATATAACTGGTTTTCTGACTAAACACATACCTTAAAATAATTCCATTAGCTTCTTGATCTGAACATGGTGACAGCAACTTTCAACCTGTAGGTGAAATGACAAAAATCTCTGCTGAGAACAAGGTAGCATTATATATCATTTGGTAAATCAAAACTTGTCTTTCTATTGGTTATCAGTGATGTAATAGTAAATGTCAGAGAGAATTGATATCAATTTGTGAAAGAAAGGATGTGATAGGTGGGTGTGGCAAATGGATCTGTCTTTTTAGTTTATAGCTTCATAAACAAAGAAGATTGAATATTTTAAAGATTAGAATCTACCTTAGTAACACTTATACTATAATTAGTAATTTATGTTAAACTCAGTATATCAGAGAGGGGTGATTAAAAAATAGAGAGTGGGCTTGTCAGAATGAATAAGTGTCATGATACTTATACAAAGGGAGATTGATTATTTGGTTATATATGTCCTTTATTAAATTGAAACTTGGTTTATGAACTATGTTTTGATGCCAAGTTTATTTTAATACATTGATAAAAAGTTGTGTAATTAAATTTTGAATGTAACTATAAAAAGTTCTGAAGTGCACTTTGGGTTACTTGTAGCAGAAGGGTTAAAGAGTGAAATGAATGTTTAAGAGTCATTTATTAAATAAAGCTGACACTAGATACTATTATAGAAAAGCACGTGCATTCTGTGCTTATTTATTTTTAACACAACTTTACACTAAACATTAGTCATTTATCTCATTACATATCATTTCGAAAATAAAAACTAAAACTAAATTTAGGTATATTGGTTGATACAGAATGGTTTCATTATAGCTAGTACTAGAATACTTATATTTATCAGGATGTAGAATATTACTAGTGAGTGGAGTTAGTGTCACTGAACTAATTTGAACACAAAATTTCTAGTTATATTTGATGATTATAAACACAACATGAAATATTGCAATGATGTTTATACTTCCACAATATATTAGGTCATCAAGAATTTAATGTCACTTTTTTAGATGAAAAAACCCAAACAACTTGTATATCAAAACAAAACATTTATTAAATGAAATATTCTCCATTCTTATCGATGATGCTTTTCCATCTTACAATCAGATTGTTAATCCCCTGATTAAAGAAATCACTTGGTTTTGAAACAAAAAATATGTTGATGTCCTCTTTAACACCTTCCACATTTGCATATGTTTTCCCATTAAGATGGTGTTGCAGTGAACAAAAAAGATGGTAATCTGATGGTGCCATATCTAGAGAATATGGTGGATGGGGGATAACTTCCCAACCCAACTCCATAATCTTGTGTTGCATCAAGTGTGCCCCATGAAGATGTGCATTGTTGGGGAGAAGAACACCTTTCCGATTGACAAGTTAAGGGTGCTTCTAATGAAGGGCTTGATTTAAATGTTTCAGTTGCTGACTATAGATCTCAGCATAGACAGTTCGCTGTGGATTGAGGAGTCTGAAATGAATTACTCCTTTGATGTCCCACCAAATGCAAAGCATTACTTTCTGCAGATAGAGTCCAGGTTTTGAGGTCAGAAGTGGTTTTTATCTAGGACTGAGCCATTGTTTTTGGCATTTAATATTCCCATAGATAATCCATTTTTTTCACCTGTGACAATTCTCTCCAAAAATGATTCACACGTATTACTTGCCAGAAGAGATGAAGCAACGTTCACATGTTGGAAACGATGATCATCGGAGAGTTCATGAGGTACCCAAACACCTTCTTTATGGAGTTTTCCCAAATTCCTTAGATGTTTACATATTGTTTCATGAGAAACATGCAATTTCAGGGCCATTTCATGAGTGTGTTGCCTTGGGTTAGACTCAACAAGCGTTTTCAGAGCATCAATATCAATTACAACAGGTCGGCCCCTGCCATCACAGTTTTTAAGGCTAAAGTCACCTGAACAAATTTGCTGAACTGTTGCTGACATTCAAAACATTTCCATAAACTTCTTTGATATTCTATGTGGCTACAGAGGCATTGTTTCCCTTCTTGTATTCAAATCAGCATTACATAGTGAATGTGTGTCTCATCATGTGCTATCACTATAAGGGATTGGAGTATAATAAATTTTACACATTATATAGGCTACACTAAAGGGATGTTTAGGTGGTTCTTTTAACTACGGTACGCAATGTACGTTTTTTGGGTGGTGGTTAATAAAAGTGTTCCAAAATGCGACATTCATTTCTTGACACCATAGAAGTTACTGTTAATATCTAGAAAGCTAATAAGGAATTTATTTGGCACTATACTAAGATAACAGTTTTCTTACATAAGTGAATTAATCCTAGTTATTAAATCACATTCACAAGAAAAAAAATCACTTTGCACTTTGGTCTGTGGGTGCATATTGTAATAGAAATGACTGATGGTCAAATCCCATTTTTCAGTCTGACAGGAGTATCCTAAGAGTTGATGGTAGGTGTTGTTGACTAGTTGCATCTTCTTTAGTCTACTACTAAATATAGCGATGAGTTGCACAAATAGCTCTCATGTAGCTTTGTACAAAATTCAACACAACAAACAATATCATGGTAGTACTACGATAATCCATGGTATAGAAGTTCATTACCATGATAGTCCTGATGTAAACAGTGCATGCAATGTGTATCACCATAGTAGTCTTATTATAGTAAACTATAACCTCCATACAATAGTAATTGTAAGAAAAGTATCTATGCCACTTTGGGTTCTGCTTTCCAGGTGGGCTTCAAGAATAAATTTCCCATTCAAATTCAGATTTCATATTGCAGTGCTACTTTGTGGAATATGTGGTAAAAATATGATATTGGTGGTTTAGTTTGAGTTTTAATAAAAAGATTATGCTTGCACATTCTGTATCATTTCATAATGGCAGTGAAATAGATTGCCAAGTTTTGGTTTTAACCTTGATCTCATTACAATTCCATCAGTTTAAATTTGGTATTAAATAACAAAAATTAAATTTCTTGATGGCAAATCCTAATGATTTCAGAAAAATGTACCTTTGAAATGTTCCATCTTGTTGTCATGTGATAGATCCTGTTAATTGTAAGTGACTGAAACAATTCTGCATCAAAACTTGCACAAGAAACATTCTTAAAAAATTTTTAGTTTTTCATTTCGTAAGAAATATTGAAGCTATTTTCAATAGTGTATTTTCATTATAAATGTAATATTCTAAAAAGTTATCCATGAAACCAGCTAAATCATAATTCTGTATAGTTATATCAGAGACTATAGATTTAACTAGATAACCATATAAAATATGTGGATGACTATCTGGTAATGTTGTCTTAAAATATTTTTTTTCAGTTGTTAAATTATATATTTTTTAGTTTTGATAAGTAATTCTGCAATTTAATTTCTCTAGTTTTTTATAGGATCATTTTCTAACAAACTTTATGTTGTCCTTTAACTCTTGATAGATAGATTAAAGTGATTTATTGTTATATTAAAATTAATAAATTGAGTTGTAACATTATTTTTGTACAATCATTCAAAATATTTTGGTGTAATTTATTTTTATTCTATGTGTGAAAAATTGACACAACATTATTACCATATAATAACTATAGCATTGAACTTATTTAGTAAAAACCGAAGTATGATAATAAACTTTATAATGCAGTAGATAACTTACCACATTTAATTTATAATGTAACTATGCTATTCAAAGGTTGAAAGTTATATCCTCGTTAATGAACTATATTAAATCTAATAGTTATAAAGCCCCCATTTTTTAAAATTTAAGATTGTGATAAATTTTTACACGTTAATTAAATATAGGAGTTTGAGACGTCAAGTGGTCTGGTGTCGTTCTGTAATAAGTTTAAAAAAATCACAATTGGAATTCATGAATACTAGAAAATAAAAGTAAAAAAGAACTGATATTATGTTTAACATAGTCAATAGTTTCAGTATATCTGTTAATATAGTACTATACTTCTAAGGTATTATGCAGTATCCAACTTTGTAGCTGTTACAAATAAATACTGATAAATTAATATACAGGCGAGCATGGCCCAGTGGTAAGTTTGCAGGATTGTGGACTCGAAGCTGTATGATTCGAGCCCTGTTACCAACCCCTTACAAAATTGTGACCTGCACTTTGGGGTTGTGAATGCATTATTAGAGTGATGACCAAATCCCACTATTTGGTTAGAGTAGCTCAGGAGTTGTTGTGGGGGTGTTGACAACCTACCTTCTCTCTAGGTCATCACTTCAAAATTATAGATAGCTAGTGCAGATAGCCCTCAAGTTGCTTTGTGAGATATTCAACAAACAACAAATTAATACACCAAGAATACAAAAACTAAAACAGACATAAAACATTGCCTTCCTAAACTTGAATGATCAGAAACACATTAATGACTCCAACTCTATGCTGTATAGGATCATTGGTTTTAGGATTTAATGATGTTTTAACACATAATAACTAAATATCCAGACTAATGAATCATTAAATAAATTATCATTACTAATGGTTACTAATAGATTAATGCATCATAAAAACATATAGGTATATATAATCGTGAATTAGCTGGTTTCTTAAGTTTTTGGAATATTACAATCATAATGAATATACTATTAAACATAGTTTTAAATTTTCTAATGAAAATTTACATTTGATAAGAAATGTTTGTTTTGCAAAATTTGCTGTAGAATCTATACACTATTGTTCCTTTGGTAGAGACCTTACAAGTAACAGATAACCTATTTTATTAGAATGAAGATGTTATATGATTTCCAAAACATGTTTTTGTAGTTATTGTTGAGGTAGTTGTAGATTAGTGTAAATCCCTCTCTTGTGCTTCTCACAGATATTTCTGTGATATAATGGAACTTATGGTAGAGAGGAGAAAAGCCAATGTAATGTAAGGGGGAGTTTGGAGAAGATGACCCCAAATGACTCAAAGAAATCCTCTGTTAAAAATGAAATGCTCTCCAGTATATCAGCAAATAGTCTATAGTTCCATCCACTTAGGTGACGGAATATAGGTTTGGTTAGTCCAGGTCTGCTAATAATGCCAGCTGTTCTCGTACAGATTTTCCAAGCTGAAGGACATTCATGAAAAGTTGAGATTACTACATAGGTTGGCATCCAGCACTCCTAATGTCCTCTGAACCTTGACATTCATAGGTGGATGAGAAGTGTTTATATATTGTGCAAACAAGAGCCTCATGTTGGAGTGATGATGCCATTGTCATACTGACATGTTTCTCAAGCAAATGCATGAAGTAGCTTGGTGTCTTGCAGAACATAAGGATTTTAGCTATTAGAGAGGAGCTGATGGCTGTGTTAACACCATCTTCACAGTTATTCATACCAAATTACATCAGAGATGGTTGCTTTTGCTGAAGCTGGAAGGAAATATGAAGGTGAAACAAGTTTTGCCTTCATCTTTCAAGGTCCAGTAAAGGAAGATTTGGATAGTTTATTAAGTGGTTTTGTTTTAACTGAAGCTTTGTTGATGGTAACAAGATATAATTTCGGTCAAGGTGCCAAGACATAGAAATTTGCAGTGAACTCATCAGAGAACTGGGCAGAGCAAGGCCCATTGGTTAATGTAGTGAACCATGGATCTGTAGGTCCATCATTTGCATCCTGTTAGTGCAAAAAAATCACATTCTTCACTTTGTTATAAAGGTGCTGGTGAAATCCTACTGTTTGGTCAAACAAGAGTAACCCCAAAATTGGCTATATGAGGTTGGTCAATTTGACTGACCTCGTAACACCAAAATAAATCTAAATTACCCCTTTTTTGTCTTTCTAGAATGACTTCAAATTGTAACTTTAAAACTACATTCGTTTATCTTCAGTAAGTTTAAAGTTGTAATAGTATACATCTATTTATACTTAAATTTTATTGTTTTATTGCCCTTTTAGCCATGTCTGACTACTATTTGTGCCATTATAAGTTGTAAATCACTTGGGGAATGTGGAGCTTACGTTACGCTATCGAATTACATTACACACGAGCTACTCCAAGCTGCTTGTGTGTTTGACTCATGAAACATTTTTATCATATTATTATTATTTATTTTACCTAATATAACATTAACTAACCTAAAGCGGTTTCTATTTTTACATTTTAGTTCTGTTGTGACCATATGTCTAAGTAATACTTTTTTTGAGTGCTTAGTGTCTAGTACAATCTAATTTATTACAATTGCATTTATATCATAAAATATGTATCTTCATTAAAAATAAGATATCCTACCTACCTACTCTCTTTCTATATATATTGTCAGAGGCTTAAAATAAGTTTTACGAGTTATTTTTTAATACTTTACACTAAGTTATGTGTTTGATGCACAGGAGTGTGTGATTGATTGTTTAACTTATGATTTATTTTCTTTTCAGATACTCAGTCAAACTAGCCATTGATCAAGCACTATTGGGACCAATATTTACTGAGGAAGAATTGCAAGAGTATCTTGAGGACTATGACAGTAACTGGTATATTGGAGCTGACACCTCTGATGAGTGGACTAAAGCCATTTTATTAGAGTATTCTTATCTCTTTTCTCTTGGTATCAATACAGACCAGGTACAAGCCCTTTTGTTCATATCTATGATATTTATTAAGCATGAAATGTATTAACTTTATAAGTTGTGTAACTGTGAATTTTTTATATTCAAAAACATCCATCTGCTCACACTTATAGTTATCACTCAACCTTCAGGGTTTCAACTTTGCCCATCTAAGCATTGGTCTGATTTTTTCTCACTTGTTCCAGTTTTTTATACCTCACTCAATTGCCCTTGACAATATATTCTCCACTTATGTCAATATGCCCTCTATTCTGGTAATGTATATAAGCACCTCCTTCATATAATTTACTACAGAAGTGCTGCCATAATTAACTTACTTGGTTGCGATTTTCGCATCACCTAGTGGCTTTTGATACAAATTATATTTAATAATTAACAAAAAAAATTGCAACATGCCATTTCCAGCCATTAATTCACTGGTTACTGTTTTCAGCACAGAGGCTAATCAGCCCTCTTCTATTCCACCTCCATTATCTAGCATCTCTCAGTGGTTGGGGAGGAGGAGTCAGTCTCAGTTGAGGCTCTTCATGTTCTGATGTTCTGAGATAGAGACATAGTGGGTTCTGTAGCTGCTTTTGTCGATGATGCAGGACAGTCTGAAGAGAATTTGGACTTTCTTTTTTACTAGGTTGGCTTCTCACAAGGCCAGTTTGGATCAGCCACCTCCTACTCCTTTTCTTTAGTTAGTCAATCAGGTTTGTCAAGTTGTGGGGCTTTTTCCAGTTCCCTTTGTGTACCTACTGCTTCTTTGAAGGTCTGGAGGTGAGTATTTAGTTTTTCCTCCTTCCCCTAATATTGCTGTTCATGCTGGGAGATTTGCTGCTCAATTACATGATGGGATAGCTATGCCTTGTCCTCCACATTTGTCTGAATAGCATACTTTGTCTTACCACCACCAGGAGGATGTATATTTAGTTTCCAAAAGACTTGATCCTTTTTTAGATAGTGGGGTTCCAGACTGAACCCTGTGACCACTTTGAAGAGATCACAAATTTTTCGAATTTGTTAGACCCTTACTACTGGTCTGAGATATTTATCTTCCCTCTAGATTGTGTCAAAAGCCTATCAGTGTTCTCCACAGCGATTTGAGGACGATTTGGGTGCTTTGCAAACTTTTACCTTGATATGTTTGTCAGCTTATTCCCTTTCTTTGGCTTCCTGGCTTGTATGTTCTTTGGATTTATTGGGTAGAGAAGCCTTGTTGGAGGGAGTTTGTCTACCTGCTTTAGGCCTCCGTGAGTTAAGGGAGGTTTCTTTTCTTCATCCTTTGATGTTCATGGGTGTCCCATAGGCATTGGAATTAAGAATTGATGGAGCCTGTTTGCATTTTTCCTTATCATTGCTGGCCTCCAGATGTTCTTTGACTCCTGCTGGAAGTCAAGGAGCAACTGCTCATTGTGTGTCCTGACCACCGGCTTCTGCTTCTCGATCTATTGGTACTAAGAATAGCTCCCATCCTTATCTTTGAAGCTCCTTCATTTGGGCAGAACATCGCCAATGGCATTAATGATTATCCTATGAGGGTGGGGTCTGTGGAAGTGAGCTTACAACATTTTCTGGATACCTGGAATTTTTTCACCACAGATCCATGGTTACTTCAGGTTCTGGTGTCAGGGTTGGTCCTTCAGTTCACTTCTCCTCCCACATTAACCTCCCAACCTGTGGTATTTCCACCCCCAACAGATCCATGGCGTGTGGTCAGTTTGATGACAGTTTTATTTGGAGAACATAATAAAAAAATACTCATGTTGGACAAACGTGCAGTGCAATAAAGCCATGGTATATCTATTAAAAAGTAAAAACACCATAATTCTAAACAAGGAATCAAACATCAGCAGGATATATCCATTAACCCTTAAGCAATCTCCAGCACAAATGCTTTCACAATTGACAATGAAAGGAACATTTACAGAAACTATAAAGAAAAACCCTCTTTAATCTTTATAATAACTCTATTGATATTGGATAATTTAATTTTTTCTCTATCCAATCGTATTTAAACTTTATTTACAGCTGTTTTCAAAGCTGTATTTTATTAGTAAATGATTAAACTACTTTATATGGCACTGTAGCAAGGTTTCAACAAAGGCCTGTACAAAAACTATGGGAAATGTTTGAAAATCAAGAAATGGATAATATATTTTGAGAGAGTGAGAGGTTCTTAGTGAAAACAGTTATTCCTTGGGATGGGTAGAAAGTGTACCCAAGCTGATTCAATTACTTTAGAACCACACTTTGATGGAATAAAATTATCCTTCTTATCTTTTTTTATACTGTTAGTTTCACTCTTAACATATTAAACATATATCAGTTGTTAGGCCTATCACATATACGGTTCTTAACTTCACACAACTATATTCTCTTTTGATATTTTCTGTCTATACTTGTCTGTCTGCTGCTTTCCGCTCGTCTCACGCTATTTATATCTTTATTACATAGTTGTCTGGCCACTTTCTATATTCTGGACACCAATTAGTTATTAATAAAAACCTTCTACAATCGCCTGCTTTTAACTCTTATTATAACAAACTTAAAAATAATAAAATATTCACTCGCAAATATAAATCAATCACTAATATTTAAACCAAACAATCTTTTTATATCATGACAGCTTACAATATGGTAATAATGGGTCATTGAAATATTATTTATACATTCATCAGTAACTTAAGTATTTACTGCTTTTTATTAAACCTAACATTATGTGTATATTAAATATCTAATCAGATAAACTTGATATGATGTGCCAATCCAAAAATATAAAACACAATTTAGGATAAATATGTTTTTTTAGTTTACTGTGTGTTAATCACAAACTGATGCTGATGAATCACTAGATGTATAAGTAAAGAATATTTTTTAAGAGTGTCACATGAGAACAGACACCAGGTAAGTCAGGGTATACTACATTTTATCTCCTTAATGATCAAATTAAGAAAATAATTTTTATTATAATTAACATTTTTATTCAGCAGATGCTTATGTGATATACTATTCCTCTTAATTGTATAAGTCTTAAGTTTAGTTAGCTTTACTACCTATAAGAAGACTGTTTATTCAACTTTTTTTTGTTTTCTTCAACAGAATACATATACCAGTCATCTACTGACCTTACAAACCTTGCCTATCCATCTTGGTCAGTTAAATTCAGCTGCAGTTGAGGGTGTGTGGAGCACCCTGGTATTAGAGATGTTATACTTTACTAATGATGATGAGGAGCGATATAGCATCCAAGCTCACCCTACTATCCTACGTAATATCACCATCCAAGCAGCTGACCCTCCACTTGGTTATCCTATATACTCTTCACCTCCTCTAACTATTCCTCTTCTGTATTGAGTCTCACATTGTGTGTCTGTTTCTACAAACTTTTCTCAAAGTTAGATGATTAAGTTTATATATTTTTTTAATCATTTTATAAATATTACTTCAGCATTATCAGGATTGCTTGGATAATGTTGTCACAATTCACTTACTTTTGGTGGCCTTGTAGTTTTTGAAACTTAAATATAAAAGTTTTGAATAATCTATTTTGCACATTTTGTAGAATAAGGAAATCATCAAAATGATAGTTGTTATTCTTGAACATGGCTCAAACCTCAATACTCTGTTTCAATATTCCTTTTGTAGTTTAAAAAAGTGTATAAATCCTAATACTTATTCATGGACAATATCTGTAGTGATGATAATGAGCATTTGCAAAACATGATTACTTGGAAATTTGATTTGAACAAGGTGTTTTGCTTTTAGATAAATTGTATTAACCTTGTGTTAATGAAAGAAAATGTGCACAAACAAAGGATCATCATTATTTAATTTCTGTAGTGCATATTGGTGTATAGATGATGTATTAATACTAGAAATAAATGACCTTATAACACCAAAATGTTGTTTTTATTTAGTTAGACACAATGTTTTGTGTTACAGCTTCTTCAGGAGCATTCACGAAAACACAAACCGAAACTGACAGTACAAAGCAAAAGTGTCTAATCAAATAAAAACAACATTTTGGTTTTATAAGGTCATTTATATCTAGTATTAAAGGATCATCATTACTTAAGGTGTGTATAAACCTGCATGAAATTAGTTTTTAAATACCTTACTATTAGCGTATATTTTTTAAATGTTGTAAAGGTTTCTGATACAAAATCCTAGTATCTAAAAATTGAATTATGTTACTTGAAGAATGATCTCAATTTCTAATGATATTTTCATGTGAATTGTTTTTAAGCAGTCCAATGTTTGCATCAGGTATTCTATTGATGCAAATCAAAGATGTGACTTATTATTATCTTAGGTGCAGAAACACCATTGTAAATGCACAGTATGATTGGTTAACACATTAATGTTTATTTTGAATATTGTATTTTTGATTCTGCCGCTAGGCCTAAGTAAATAATGGATTTCTTGTGATCATGCTGTACTTGCACTTCACTTTCAACTTTATTACAGTTATACTTATTTGTACTAGGAATTGACTTGTACCGATTTAAATGTAACAACTTTTTTTATTAGTATAATCAATAATACAAAGATTTAAGCTAGATTTTGTCTAATGGCATCATATTTTGCTCTAACATCTCCCAGCCTTTTTCCTTTCTTCTGTTCAATGCATGTCTTTTATATTCATTTCTGAAGAACCACACCTATTGCCCTTATAACAGATTACAATGTCTCATAATTATAGGGGTTCTTGTAGCTTCTAAATCTGGCTGAAGTTAGAAAGGCGGCAGCTCTTTCTAATCATTTTATAGCAATTTAAAGTGCTATAACCTCTTAATCCATTGGGAATGGACCAAAAGCTAGCTGCTTTCTCACTTTTCAATTCCAACTAGTGTTCTTTACACCTAAGTTCATAACAAGAATTTACTAATTGATTAATGGGCTCATTAAACAATTAAATTCAACTAATTGATTATTCTCACACGAGACTTGAACAGTTGGAATAATCAAGAATAATAATAACTGGAAATATTAATTTCAGTTGACTTATTCCACTAATCGATTAAACTGAAAAAACTTGGTGTTAATTGAAAATAGTAATATTAAATCAGAATGGTAATATTTTTAATACTCAGATAGTTGGAATAAGTGGAAACACTAATTTCACATAGTTCATTATTTTTGTGACATTAATAAATTAAAATTTTGATTCATCTGTTATTTTGTATGTCAATAATTAATGATCGTAGGTAATTGATTAATCAAGTTAATTGCCCAGCTCTAAATGTCATAGTTAAATAAAAGTATTTATTTTCAAATTTCTGTACAATTAAATAACTGTTACTTTGTGTGGCATTTGTGTATGCTTCAAGACTACATTAATTATGATTATTGCAATATGTCCAGTTTTAAAACTTGGTTTCTGTTTTCACTTGTTTGTAGATTACTATGACATTTTGTTAAAGTTTTATAAATGTCTGCTTTTAAAGTTAAACACACGTGAGAGTAGTGATTCTTAAACAGCTGGTCACAGTATCGTTGAGCTAGATCATACATATATGATTACATATAAGATGTTATTGGTAAATTACATATTTAAAGACATACCAATGGTTGAGACAGTACATGGAAATTAATCCCCCACTGGGATTTCCTGTGGTGGACAGAATTCAAGTAACCTGTCAATTAGTTTTGCATTGGAACAACATCATCTAAAAGCTATGTATTTTTTTTTCTTTTTTTTGACTGTTTGTCTATTTTATTATAATTTTGTGTACTTGTTTATAATGTCCCTAAATGTTTTTCTACAACTCTATGTTGTTTTTGTATTTGTTCTAGACATACAAGCTTTTTGGTTTAGTTTTCTTGTAGGGAAGAGCAGGACTTGTTGGAATGGTTTTCACTTATGAATGTTTTATGCTATTACTACATATTCTCAAAACATTCATCTATATAAATATATGTGAAAAAATTGAAAGGTAAGATAAGTGTTTCAACCAGTCCCATAAGTGGGGCTGGTTGAAACAGATAGATTACTATAGACCTATAAAGAAGGCAATACAAAACAGAGAAATACCATGTTAACTAAGTCATAATAAGTGATGTTTAGATCATAGTTAAGTATTTATAGAATTCTTCAAACTGGTCTGACTCATCATCTTCGTCTCTGTCGGTGATTAGATTCACCGTGTATGGGTCTTCACACTACACGAAACTACTCTTCTTCTGAAACATTATCATTACGTTGAATGGCGGTCTTCACTTTCTTTTGCTCTGGTTGTGTGACCCTTTATATGATCCATCCTTTAACTGAAGGCTCTTCTGACATTTCTTTTCATGTGCAGCATTGTGAACTCCAGCAAGAGCATTCTTGGTAGGAGTGTTGGTCAGTATTGCAGTTGTATGTTTTCACCTACCTTATTGTGCAGCATTGTGAACTCCAGCAAGAGCATTCTTGGTAGGAGTGTTGGTCAGTATTGCAGTTGTATGTTTTCACCTACCTTATTGTTTCTTCTGCTTAGGCACTGCTTTTGGGAGTGAATAAATCGTCATTGGGGAAATGTGAAGCCTGGAGTTAAGTTTTAAACCACTTGGACCAGCAGAACAGACTGGGGAGGTTGGTACATTCACTGCAACATGTTATGTCAAATTCTAAAATGTTTTCAACAACAGGTGGAACTACAGAGAATGCTACATTATCAGGCCTTATGTTTGTTGGGAATTCCATTGGACTATCAATGACAGAGAAAGTAAAAAATAAATTGTCTGAAAAGGCATAATACCTGATACATAGAAACCAGATATTATGTTTTTTGGTGTAGGAGCTAGAGATAGAACTTTACTAACAGTACATGGAATGTCATGAATAGTCATGATTTTTCCGGGTTATTCCTCATCCAAGCATCATTTGCAGAATAAATGAACTTGTGGACCATAACTCCCACAATCTAATAACTGAAGTTAATGGGAGCAATGTGGTGGGAAATTATGCAAGACAACACCATTCTCTTTGCTAATTTTGATGAAAAGGTGCAATTCATAATTGTCAAAAACAGAGAAATATAGATCGATTGTGAGAACATCATGTATGGTTGATGAGATCCTTTATGGAAACCAAAAAAATGGAATTTTTCATCCACCCAGGTAAATTTCCTGAACCAACAGATCCTGTGGACCATTAACAATGAAGTGTTCTTTATAATGCACTCTGGGAAACACACAAATTGAGGGAACTGCCTTATCAGTAGCAGAGACAGCAACTGCCACTGTTATCAAACTACCCAATTTGGGAGACATCATTAATCCTATTTACTTCACTCCTTTTTGAGCCACAACCCAGTCTGTTATCTGGAAAGTGGTTCCCATTTAATCAACATTATAAATATTGGAGGCTTCAAACTTATTTCATTTCAAAACTGTTCTATAGTTTATAAAAATACAGCTGTTACTTCTGTTAAAGCTTGTTGACCTGACAAACTAGTTGCTTCTAGTAGAGATATGGTGAGGAACAGATGATATTTGAGAAAAGCAGTAAACCAGTCTTCACTCTTTTTTTTTCATCTGCTCTCCAAGACCAAGGAACCTCTTTTTGATCAATAGCAAATTAGTGTTCACATTTGTTTACATCTTTCAGGGATAATCCATAGTAAAGACTTGAAAATGTATCCAAGTGTTTTGCCAATACAGCTTCTGCTTCAATGGAGAGCACGTTTTGTTCACAATGTGAACATTCGTTTTATTTCTTCATCTTCCTAGAGCAATGGGACATTGAAGGCTTTAGCAACACTTTTGTGGCAGCTATGACTTTCATTTGTGACAATATTGGAAGCTTTCAGTTTGATTTTGGGCTGGATTCTTCCATGTTCCATTTCACCTTTGTAATTCCACATTCTATAAAAAACGTTGAATTGAAATATTAATTTAATGATAACTAAAGAAACATTATTACTCGAAATATCAATGATATTAGCATTGAACTTACTGTCAGTTATTATTTATGCTTAACACAGAATGATAGTAAAAGTAAGTAATATGTAACAGCTATTAATAAATACTGTTTAATAATATTAAAAGTCTTGGTATTAAACAAAATAATTACCTAATACCTGATTATATTGATTAGTTAAAAGCTTAGTTTGTCACAAAAAATATTTTTTCAAATAAATTTAACAGAAAATTTCATTTGACATGGTGTGGGATTGTTTGAAACTATCTTTGAAACAACCCTCCACCTCCCAGTATTTTGAAATATACTGGATTCTGTAGTTGCATATTTAATCTAAGTAACACCCAGTTTAGGTAATTCCTTTCATGTTTTTGTCTACATATTCTAGAGCAAACAACAACATACCTACAACCTTGAAGATTTGCTAACCTATTTAAAAGATCGTTTTTTGGGTGCAAATTGGACTTGTTCAGATTCAAATGGCTGCCATGTGAAAAGTGTCTTTATGTGTGATACTGCCCTCTGGTGTTAAAGGTTAATTAGGCGATGTTTCAGGTGTTCTGTTTCAGTCCATCTGTTTCAACAAATCTTGCTCTCCCTTATATCTTACGCATCAGTATTTGTTCGTACTGACTTTTTTGAAGCATGTGATTCTTATGCTTTTTTGACTAATGCAGTGGAGGCTTTAAAATGTTCAGAGATATTATTGTGTGAAATTATTTTATAAAAGCTAATATAATAAACG